CAGTGAGTGACCGCTGGCAGGTTGCTGGTACGCCTTGTGCCCACTATCTCTTTCTGTCGGGAGAGGGAACATGGACAGAGAAAAAAAAGCTGTCTCAGCAGTTTTTTGATGATGATGGTCAGAGGCCGGTGGAGGAGCCATTTCTTGTCCCGTGTGCTGTTCAGCTCTGATGGACGCTTAACTGCAGGTTTCTAGAAATAAATGTGTCGGACTGGATTTCTGTTCTGAATATGACTGAGATGTTATATTTACTGTCCTGCTTTTTCAATAGCAGACTGGTTCCCATCATTAAACTGAAGGTGTGTTCGGACTATCAAACCATCCCATTGAGCTTCCCTAAGTCCCTGGCATGCATCCTCGTGCATTTGGAGTGCTGTTTGTATTGTCTGCTTATTGACAGTGAGGGCTGGGCATCTGAAGGCTGTGTGTGTGTCCAGTGTCCTCTGTGTGCTGTTCATGTGTGGGTGTGATCTCTGGTGGTGTGTGACCTCAGGTGCATCGGAGCAGTTTGCTGTTCGGTGTCAGGTTCAGGCTTGTGTCGTGGAAAAAGCAGGTATGGAGTGAAGGAGTTGAGGTATGCTGAAGGTATTATTTATAAATGAGGGTAAACCGAGGACCGTGGAGTCTCGGGGCTTTACTTAAACAAACAGTTCTCTAGAATAGCTGACTGACGGCCTTTTGACGTCTCAACTCATCTGACACAGAGGTATGCGTGAGGTCATGTGAGTTTCGTGATGAGGTTACTTTAGAAATGAAGCTAAGAAGTGGATTACAAAGAACAACAACCCTTTTGTTTGGGTGTTTCCTCAGCAGCTCACATGTTTGCTTCAAGGTTGTTGTTTTTTAAATCCTTGACGACTTGTCGAGATTTCTGACCGCAACACAGAACCGCTGTTTGCTTCACGCCTCACAGGGTCATCAAGTGTCATGTAGTTCCTTCTTACCTCAAATTCAACCCTTCTGGGTGTCACCACGGCAAAATTGTGTTTTTTTATTTATTACAGTCTGTATTTATGAGAGTTTTACTAATCCACAAATGCCTCTCCTCTGGTGATTATGTGTACATTCAACACCACAGTCCATTTTGAGATTTGTCCTTTCACATGTACAGTTTGTCACTTGTATGTGAGTGACTTCATTAGGCACACACCATGTAATTTCATTGGAAAAATCATTGAATTAAATGAATATCCATCATGTGGTGGCACTGCACTGACAGCAGTCTGTAAATGCTCACTGCCTGAGTTGATGTTATATCACATTAACTGTCCCACTGATTTAAGATGTGGTTTGCTCCATAAATTGCCTGCAGTGCCAGCAAATATAGACTATTTATCCACAAATTAAATAATGAATACGTCTGTTTTAATAACAGGTCTTTAAATAGAAAGCAGTACTGTTAGCATACTTGGCCATGTATATTATTTAATACTTTTATTTCCTCTATGCTCAGCCTCAAAAGTTCATACAGTACAGTCTGTTTCTGTCGCTGTACTAACCTTATATATACTGTCAGTGGTACGAACTCTCATCTGTGGTCTTGTACAGGTGTTTTTTCTTCCTGTTTAAGGGATCACGTAGTAGACACAGGGTCCATAATGTTAGATTATAGTTGTTTTAGATTA